GGCGGTGGTGGTGGTGGTGGTGATGCTGGTGCTGGTGCTGGTGCCGGTGCCGGTGCTGGTGCTGGTGGTGGTGCTGGTGCTGGTGGTGGTGTTGCTGCTCCTGCTGTCGCTGGTGCTGGTGACGGTGGTGGTGCATGTGGTGCTGATGACAGTGGTGATGTTGTTGTTGGTGCTGGTGGTGGCGGGGGCTGTTTGTTTTGATGTTGTCCGCTCATTGTTGTTCCGTGGAGTCAGTCGTTTTTTTGAGCAGTCTGTGTGTCCTGCGGAGGTTCCATCGCCCAAGCCCCAGTGAGGAGCACGATCTCTGCTCAATCTGTCAAAGCATCTCGGCGTATCTCTGCGCTGCCTCCGGTTGGAGTTAGGAAGGGAGCACTGAACGGCTAGGTGCAGTGGGAAAGCGGTATTTCAATCCGCGGCACCACTGCCGACTTTGTTGCCGGCCTGCTGGGCTCCCAGCAGCTTGGCACATGCCCAGTGGAGGAGTTGCCATGTCAATCTTTGCTGAGGTTTGCGCATCATGCTCCTCGACTCGGTTGAGCCTGGCTGGGCTGTTGAAAATTGTTCCCGCAGTGTACAAGCCGTAGCATTTCTGTTGATGGTCCACCAAGGTTCGCCTTGTCGCGTGCCAGTGACAGGGCAGAAGGGAGTGCACAGATCCTGCCTGCAGTGCGCCGCAAACGCATCAAGGGCGTGGCTAAGTTGCAGTGAGATGCCGCGTCCGTGAGATCAGAATCCAGTTGCGGAGGTCAGCCATCACTCAGCAGCTGTCCTTTCTGTCACGACAGCTTTCTGACTTGGCCGGCAGGCTCGCGTGATACAAAGGAGTTAAAGCGACGCGGTCTCAGGTAATGTTCAACGTCCTCAGTTCCAACTATGGGTTCTGATTCGTGTGTTCCCCCCCACATACCCAAACGACTATGACCTCTGGCATGAAACCTGACAATCCTTAGGCTTGAGGTCCTTCAGGCAAAGACTCCAACGTAGAAATCTTCTAAGAGCAGCTCTGATTAGGACCGTACACAACTAATCAATGCATGAGGCTGACAGGTTAGGTGGAGGTTGTATCCTACCTACCTGCTGCAGCAGAGTGTTTTTGGCCGCGCATCTTGGTACAATTCAGCCCCCCAAACGAATCAGGGGGCTAAATCATTTTGGCCAAACTTCGCGCCATCGAAATGCCCCCCACGAGCGCAGGCCAACTGCCGATGTCGCACCTGTGACCTTAGAGGTTCGCGCTGCAGTTGTGGCCAAATGTTTTGCATAACATGCTTGCTGGCTGAAAAACTGGCTTTTGCAGCTGAAAACTCGCATCATTGTTTTGGAGAGGATGCGCTGAGCAGTCTAGAAGCTGCCGTTGAACCTTTGAGGCTGGCAGTAGCTTCCGCAACTGCAGACATCACTCCTTTGACAGACTTTTGTTTATGGAGGAAATTGCGAGTGAAGCACAAGATCACAGACTCTGGACTAATGTTTCTTCAGGGGGACGGTAGTACAGTCGGCGAAGCTCAGAATTTGAGCAGCAATTCCGCTGGTGTGAGCATGACACTGAACAAAGGCTTGCGTCCTTTTCCCCTCTGAGGAAAGAAGATGCCACGAAGCTGAGGATCAGCTGCAAACCCTCCGCACAGAATTGCATCGAAACAGAGAAGAGGGGTACGAGCAGAGGACCCAAGCTAGGGGCTTTTGACCTTAAGCCAAAATCTCACTTTGTCAGCTGATGCGTGGAGGACCTTGCAGTCGCTCAGTTGCGGGGCAGGCCAAGGCCGTGGCCTTGCTTGGCAAAGGCCGGGGTGCCGAGTTGCAGAATCAGGTGGCGCATGCGAAGATGCGACTTCAAGCAACTGCTGGATATGTCGCAGCCGCTTAGGGAAACGATGCTTGGCAGCAGCTCGGCTTTTCACGGCACGGCAGCAATACTTCACGCAATGAGGTTACATAAACCCACGGCACCATTGCCGAGCTTGTGGGAGACCAGTATGTGGCCAATGTTCGCCGAGTAGCATCATCATGGTGTCTTGGCAGGAGGTGCTTAAGGAACAATTTGCTCCGTTGCAGAAGGAACTGTTCTAAGCCTGCCTGGCTGTGAGGATGGGAGGACGACGCTACAACGAGTTTGCAACCTTTGTGCACGAAGTGTGCAGGAGGTGTAGCAGCCCAAGGGTAGGAAACAGCATTTTCCGGACTTGCAGGACGCGATGTTTGTTAGTAGCATGGAATCAGGCCGGAGATGACTCTTCGCTTGCAGGGGCTGGCAGCAGGCTTCCTAATTAGTCAATCCTAATTGATTCACCCCTGCATGCAGCCGTCAGCCAGGTCTTTCTGAGCTGTGCGCAAGATCGAGCCCCACAAGTTCAGGTTGGTTGCGATCCACTTTGAATGGCGGGGCCTGGTGCATCTTGTGCCTACAGGTCGGCTCCAGTGCAGCGAGTACACGCTTGAGGGGGCAGTTCGAGAGTGTGAAGTAGGCTTGGCACTGCTCAAGGAGGCGGGGACTTGAAAAACCTGTGCCTTTGCACTTTTCCTCTACCAGTGAGAAGATTGAACAAGCCTTTTGATGGAAATATACTACTTAACGCTGTGACGGGTGACTTCTCCTGGTATGTGTACAGACGAGAATGTTCAGACATCCTTATGATCTGCACAGATGCCTTTTAAGAGCCGAGCTTCAGAAAGAGCTTACTCCCTCTAAAGCACTGCTTGTGATCGACAGGTTTCTGAAACAGTGCTGTTGTTGAAAGGCTAGGAGCCTCTGATAGTGACTTCGAAGCTCGGCTTCTGTCGATGCATATGTAGGCTTGGCTAACGACAAAGGTGCCAACATGACACCCCCGGTTCGCAGCCAGATGCGGGACTAAAATTTCTACGGCGCCAGCAGGCTTCACGAATTGGATTATCGCCGCAAGAGCTGAGTTTTCTCATGGGCTCTTGCTCCCTGATCTTGCTGATGCAGGACAAGATTCAGTTCATCTCTGTTCAGGAGGCCACGCCGTGCATCAGTTTTGGAAAAGAGCTAGAACACTAGGCCTTCGCAAAAGGGTCCAAAATTATAGGGCGCAGTTTAGGAGAGATGAGGCAATGTTGACGGAAAAGTTGGCAGCGTTTTTTTTGGGAGCAGAGGATCGCCCCGGGGTGAGGAGGCGAGGAGAAGTGTGCAAGGAGACGTGTGGGGGCCGATTGTCTCGAATGTTTCGGGGCGGCCGCCTTTGGACGGGAAAATGTTCGCCGACCTGAACGGGGAGACGGTCGGGTGCTGAACTCTTGAGGCTTCATGGCATAGCGGCGGCTATCAAGAGTATCGACTCCGCCAGCATCAGAGGATGAGATTTCAGCGTGACGCAAGTATTCAAGCCACACTGCAGCACTGCACTGCACACCCTGCATCAGAGATTGTCTCCGTGCATTCCGTTGAGGCTTTTGGTGTGTTGCAGGGATGCTGCGGATCAGCAGCTTCGACAATCGTAGTGGAGCTGTTGACTTCCCGCAAGGACATCTTGAGGTTGCCCTTGCCTGCTAATTGACCCATTCGCGCAAAACTGCAAACAGGACGAGGCATCATGGAGGTTTCCAAGCGAAGTTTCTGACTGAAGTCCGCAAGAGTTTGGGTATTCACTCAAAGCGGGAACCAAGACGCGAAGTGTTTTGAGTCCGCGGATCCCAAAGTTTGCGACGATCTCCCAAATCGTTTCTGTGGGCATTGCAATGTCAGTTACAGTTAGTCTGACCAATGCTCAGCATCAATTTTCAGACTGCATGTGTGTACAGCAACCGTCCCGGCATTGGCCACAGGGCCGCGGGACTGCAAAGTCACCTTTTGGAGCTGCCAGCCTGATTCCCTGCATACATGCCTGGGGTTTTTGACACTAAGGCATAAGTTGGATGTGCTTTGCTTGTCAGCAGAGAAGGCGGCTCTGAGTTCTGTTGGCGTCTTTGTGAGAAGCCTCAAGGGATCTCCTTTGCTTTTCCCGGCGATGCGGGAGGCTCAAGACGTCTAGAACTTATCAAATTCAAAGCGAGCCATTCGTGTTTTCCAGCTCAGCTTTGGTTCTTCGATTTTCGCTATTTGAACATGCGGGTTGTTGACGTGAGGCCGCAATGGCCAATCACTGCCTGGCCTCCAAACTAAGCAAGACTGCTGGATCCAGATCTCAAAGATTTCTTGAACCGCGTGCTTGAACTGTGCATTCGTCATGTAGTTGCAGCTCACTGAACCTTGTCATCTCTTTGCGGCAGGCTCCAAGAATGTTACACCTTACCCTTGCTTGTGTTTAGTCGTCGCCGAAATGCTTTGCCGTCTGCTATGCGCAGTGCCTGCGCTCGCCACCGTCTCCGCCCAGCGGACACTGGTTGGCATGCCCATTGCCGCACATCTCACAGCTGCCTTTTGCTAAAACTCCAAAGCGATTGTTTGCACACAACGTCATGCTCGAAGGATTGTAGAAGAGAGCTGCGAACAAGGCTGGCCATCAGCTGTCCCACAACCTGTCCTGCACGTTTTCGCATCCATTTCTTTGCCCCTCTCTCTCTCTCTCTCTCTCCATCCAAGAGATGTCTGGAAGTCTGAAGGACATCCAGCCAGAACGATGGAGCTTCTTCAGCACGCACCTCTCCATCGTGCAGTTGCTCCTGCTGATGTGCATGTGCCCAAGCTAGGAAGCAAGGCGCTCCGACCAAATGAAGGAGGACGGAATCTACGTCTAGGTGAGCCCTTGCATCTCGCGCTGCGTTTTCTTGAGAACCCTAAGCTACCCTTATGCATCCTGTGCACTCTCTTTCGATCGAAGGACCTGCCGAAGCTTGGCTGCATTGAGCATGCGGTGTACAACATGTAAAGCTTTGAACGCGTGCCGCGCACTCCGGCTGCGGAAAGTGCAACGGGGCAACATTCCGCCGGTCTTGAGCTGGAAGGACGTGATCCACGTGGGAGTTATGTTAAAGGCATTCTATGGTACGGTGCCTTGATCGCAAGATTTCCAGCCCATGTGACCGTGACCTTCCAAGAAGCTTCTTTTTTGCGTTGGGTGGTGCTGTTTTGCAGGGATTGCATCCTTGAGGAACAAAATCGTTCTGTTGAGCTCTGTGACTAAGCCTTCTCAACCTTTACAGGTGTGCCTGTTTGACGAGGAAGCCTTTAGATGACTGCATGATTTCAAACCCGGGAGAAATGCACATGGCATGTCCGTGAACCTCTATCACCCTTGAATACCGTAGATCCTTTTCTAGGGAATGTAGATCTGTCAGGTAGAAGAGATTTGGAGAACACCAGACAATCTGTTAGAACTGCCTGTCAGGAGTGGCAGTTCACCGCCAGTGCGGCCTTTGATTCGTAAGTAGTCTTTCGGTCTTGTCCTGTATGTTGATGCTGAACAAAGACCCAAGCAAATCTTGCGCATATGCTTTGCTGAGCTTGCCGAATCTTGCCAAGTCTTTGGATCATGTACGAAAGAAATCCATACTTCAAGTTCATTATGCTGCCGGTCATATGCCTCCTCCCCGCAGAATTTGCACGACGAGTACTGGGAGGGCGATGTTATCCTCAGCTTGTCGTGGCACGATCCGCGAACTGCTGGATTGGTCCCGCAGGAGAGCAGTAAACGCAATGATGCCCGTCAGACCTCAAGGAGCAGTCCTGCCGTATTTGTGATTTGTTTCTTCAGGAGCTGCACCATCGCATTTTATCTGAAGATCAGGCAAAGTCCCTGATGTGGATCCCAGATTCTTGACAAGCATGTCAGCCACACTGGCCTTGCTTGCAGTGTAAGCTACGTAGACAGAGCATAGCCGCTGTGTAGATCTTTGTGCTATGCGCCGCATGCTTGTGAGCTTTGGGCTTACTGCCTACTATGCAGCAGAGGATGTAGTAGTGACGAATGCCGAGATTGAAGGGAAGCAGGTTGTCTCCACCTCCTTCTTCGTTGATAGCAGTGGCAACGTGAACAAAACTCAGCGCGTCCTGGTGAAGATCAAGGAATCGGCGGGAGAAATGAATTTTGGGCTTCGTCCTTGCTAGGCCCCTAGACAAGTAAGGCACAAAGCAACTAACGAAAAGAATTGAGCAGAGAGCAAAGCCCTCTAACGGGAAGACCATTAGCAGTGGCCGTAACGAGCTTGCCTTGAGCAAACGTGTGGGTGTTGTAAGCTACCGTAAGCTTTGCCCGTCGGCAGCAAAGTTTTATTTAGGGCCTGCGGCACTGGCCGGCCTGGCCGCCGCCCCCTTGCCCACCCAGCTCTTGTTACCTGGAATGTTTTTTTTGGTTTGAAGACCCTGTTCTCTCTAGTAAAATTGAAAGCGGCCAAAAGTGGAGTCCCAATTGTGCTCATGATGTTCCTGTACGAGGCGCGCGCGCGCGCGCGCCTCGTACAGGAACATCAGCTGCACAATCGGGACCCCATTTTGGCTTGATTGGCACCAGGAGGGGTCAAAAACCCAAGTAAACCATCAAAAATAGACATGGTTCGTTGTGCAGGCTGACCATGTTGTAGCCCAC